AATCTCCACAGGACAATGCACAAAAGAAACCTTATTATTTCTTCTACTTTGACGAAAAGAAGAAAGTCCACATCCCGTTACCGGAACCAACACAGACCACACCGAGATATCGGCACTCCGTTCAGGTAGACTGGAACCCGCCAACCACGAGACGACGGGTTGGCCAAGGTAACTCTTAAGCGATCATCTAATCGTGCGTGTGTGTGTGTGCACGTGTAAGGAAACAAATTTTGGGTGTGTGCGTGGGCAATAAAAGGTTAACTAACCCCCAAGGACCCATAGACACACTTTGGGTACCAAAGTGTTGTTTTTTTAGGTACCCCGTTCATGAAATCAGGGGGAACCATGCAAACAGCGCTGTCCAGGAGACACAACAGCGCTGTTGCGGGAAACACTGTCAACCAGAAAGTTTTCCAACAGCGCTGTCCATCAAGCCAACAGCGCTGTCCCAGGGAGTCCCTTCAATCTTCACTTTCCAGAAACTTTTTGAACATCGATGTTCCCCTTTAAACATAGCTGTCTTCCCAAAACTTTTTGTTTTCAACCAAAACCAGAAACTTTTCAAACAGCGATGTCTTACTTTAAACATCGATGGCCATCTTTACAAATTTTTGCCCAATCGTAAAACAGCGATGTAGGATAACCCAACAGCGCTGTTCTAATGGGTTCAAACCCTTACACAATTCCAGAAACTTTTGGAACATCGCTGTAGGGTACCCAACATCGCTGTCCAATTGACACTTTTTTAAAACTTGACGCACAATAGCGCTGTTCTGATTTCCACCAGCGCTGTCCCAACAGCGATGTCGCTTGTAGAACATCGCTGTTCTGGTAAAAATTTTCAAAAAAATATCCGTTGGCAGCTGCATTAACTTCTCCAACAGCCATAATTTTGAAATTCAGGCCGTTGGTGACCACCTTTTCTATAAATTGGGACCCCCTCTCTTCACTTTTACACACACAAACACAAATTCCTTCAATATCTTCACATATTTCATCCTCTAAACTCTTTTTTTTTGAGATTTCTTCACTATGGGCAAAGACAAGAACAGGGCAGGCACTTCCGGAAAATCCAAGTCCAAATCCCGGGCTCCATCCACGACCTCCGAAGAACGCCTCTACTACGGCGATGGGTCGTACCTCTGGTTCGATTCCGAGGAGGAGCGCACCCGATTTCTCACCTTTTTCTCCAAACGGGTTGTGGCTCCCCCACGAATCATCCCGGAGCGCTACCCGGAATTGGAGGGCTACGACGACCTCGATGCGCAGCTCCATCAAGCCGGCCTTTGGCCGTTCGTCTCCCGGGCACGCAAGGAGTTCAACCCGGCGCTGATCCGGGCCTTCTACTCCAACCTCCGGCGTGAGGATGACGTGCTCTACTCGCTCGTCAAGAGCACGCCGATCGAGCTCACCGTGGAGCAGCTTGGGCGCATCGCCGGCCTCCCCTTCCAAGGCGACGATGTGTCTCACTATGGTGGAGAGGATTGGGTGCTCAACAACGAGGGCCTTATCCTCAACGAGCTTGGCATCACCGAGCTCAAACGCCATGCCTCGGGATGCCCAACCATCCACTCCGCCAACCCCGAAGGCCGCCTCGTCCTCTACATCGTCTCCCGGATCATCAAACCGAGGAAGCACGGCCACACCATCATGCACGGGGAAGACCTCAAGCTCATCCATGCGATCATGCATTCGGCCCCAATCAATTGGGCAAAGTTTGTCATGATCAACATGACGATCGCCGCGTCCACCGACCACGATCACCTCCTCCCGTACCTGTTTTTGGTGATGGACATCCTTGAACGGTTCAAGGTAACCACCACCGTTGGCCCGCTCACGAAGGCCACGAAGATTTGGACAATTAGTAACCAAACCTTCCTCAAGCGGTCGGACAACGCCGCGGCTGCCACTGCCGAGCCACGCCGCCCTGCCCCTACCGCTGGCCCAGCCGGACCCCAGGCCCGAGCCAACCTTGCCTCCATCGCCGACTCCCTCAACCAGCTCCACCTCAAAGTTGATGGGATGGGGAGCTACCTCGAACGGCTCGACGTGGCTGTTCAACGCCAAGGATACGCGATGAACTCGTACTTCCAAGGCATCAGCTACGTCCCCCCACCGTACCACGGCACGTTCTTTGGGCAAGTGTACGGTGACGAAGACGAAGCCGATGACTCCTACGCCCCGTCAAGCTCCCCGGATGAAGACGAGTTCGACGATGCCATCGATGGGGATGAGATGGACGTCGACAACGACGAGGAGGAAACCGAAGACGAAGACTAGGACTCCCCTAAAATTTCTATCTCTTTTACTTTAATTATCCTGTTCTTTTTTAATGCTTCCGTTGTAATCCGCTATTTCCCTTTATTAAATAAAATCATTTCGTTTATCTTTTTGTTAATGTCAAAAGGGGGAAGAAAAGGGCTATGCATATACTAAGGGGGAACGTCTCTATAAACGAGACCGTTTGATTTTAATCCAACCAATTTTTTAAGCACAAATCAAGGGGGAACTTTTTTTCACAAAATTTGAAAAACAAATATCCCTTAGTATGCAGGTTTTGATGACAGGTTTTGATAATGCCAAACCTGTCATATCGAAGCTAAAGTGAGCAAAACTAAGGCGAAAGAACATGGGATGATGAATTGAGAACCAAGAACCCAGAAGCAAGAACGAAGATCTAGAATTGTATTGAGTCAGTTTTAATGTGATCAAGACCGGCACAAAATTCCAAATCTTGGCTCTCTAGGCTTAATTCATAAAAATATCTTTTACATGTTCAAAAATACTTTTCTTAAGTTTAAACTTGGGTCAAAACACTTGGAGTTCGCCCAAGCCAAAAACCAAGCCATCCGGCGTTCGGTTTTCGGTTTTCGGCATTGGTTTTTGGCGTCCAAACCAACCAAGTGGTTTTCAACTTTTTATGACTGGTTTTTACTTCTGGGCATATTTAAATAGTTCTCCAACAAAAACGCCTCAAAAACCACTCTCCGTTCTTTGTCGTTTAGTGAAAACCATGCGAAACGGCGCGAACTTGGCTAGCCGTGGTTTTCAACTAAGTGACGTGGTTTTCAAGATGTTTTGCTTGATTTCTTAGCAAAATGCAATAAAAAAATGTTTCTAAACTTGGTTTTTATTTTGGAGGACTTGCGTTTTTGACATCGGCCAACGGCGTGACTAAACCAACCATGGGTCTGGCTAAACCAAGCCCAACAGCGATGTTGAGGTAATCAACAGCGCTGTCTGGCCCGGGTAGCCAAAAACATGGTTTGGCGTTAAGTCTTCCAACAGCGATGTTGGACTTTAGACATCGCTGTTGAGCCAAGGTTGGATTTCCAGAAACTTCTGGAACAGCGATGTAGGCTTCCCTACAGCGCTGTCCAACCTAAGCCAAAAACATAGTACATTGGCAGAAAGTTTTTGGACACCGATGTTGACCCAGCAACAGCGCTGTCAGGCCTAAACTTCCATCTTCAAAGGCAGACCTAAACAGCGATGTTCTAGTATAGAACATCGATGTAGAGACCTGACCGTTGGAAGAAATTTAAGGCTAAAACTTTCCTTGTTTGGAAGTCAACAGCCAAAACAGCGATATAGGGGTTTTGGACATCGCTGTTGGCATGACCGTTGCTTCCCATTTTTCAAACCGCAAGCCTAAAACAGCGATGTCCAGGCCTAGGACAGCGCTGTCTAGGTGATCTTCAACAGATCCAAATTTCATCAAATCCCACAAATTATGCCAATCACCCCTTAAATACTTTGGTCCGTTGGAGCCTATTTTTCTACTATAAAATGGGGTGTTTGGGTCTGTTTTACATACAACATTACTTCACAACTCCTACTCTTTCATTGCAAATCATTCTTCATAGCTTTTGAGAGCCATTTTTGTGAAGCTTGTGTTGTGTTCTTGAGCGTTCTTAGTTTACTCATATCCACTCTTAAGGAGAGTCTTGTTCTTGAGTGTCTTAGTGTTGTATACACGTTAAGGGAAGCTTGTTTCCCTTGGTTGTACGAAGGAANTTGAAGTCTTGGAGTGCGGTATCTCCGAGCAAGTGTTGTTGAGGCTCGTGGGACTCGAGTTCTCAGGTTGTAACGGTTTGTTAAGCACCCGTAAGCTTAACGGAAGTAGTGTAGCTCGAGAGAGTCTCTCGGGAGACTGGATTAGCCACACGTTGTGGTGAACCAGTATAAATCTTGGTGTGCTCCCTTTACGCTTTCTACGCTATTTACGTTTCACGTTCTTAATTTTTTATTCCTGCGATTTCTACGATCAAACGCTATTCACCCCCCCTCTAGCGTTGGTCACTTATTCTAACACTTATTTGGCCCTGTTACACCAATAAGTCTAAGTGGAAAGAAATATGTCCTGGTAGTAGTTGATGATTATTCAAGATACACGTGGACAATCTTCCTCAACAGCAAGAAGGAAACGCAAGGGAAGATCACAAACTGCATGAAGCTGATTCAAAATCAAGCAAGTCAGACCATTCAGAAGATCAGATCTGACAAAGGCATAGACTTCCTGAATGAAATCATCATTCACTACTGTGAAGAAAACGGAATTCTTCATCAAACATCTGCAGCAAGGAAGCCTCAACAAAATGGTGTAGCTGAAAGAAGGAACATAACCTTGAAGGAAGCAGTAAGAACCATGCTAGCCGAAGCTTTCTTGCCAAAGAGGTTTTGGGCTGAAGCTGTAAACACAGCTTGCTATACTCAAAATAGAAGTATGATTTATAAAAGGCACAACAAAACTCCCTATGAACTATGGAATGGGAGAAAGCCTAATATATCATATTTCTATATTTTTGGGAGCAAGTGTTTTGTGTTAAACAACAGGAAGAATCATCAAAACACTTTTCATGAAAAATCAGATGAGGCCATCTTCCTAGGATATTCCATGGTGAGAAAAGCGTTCAGAGTCTTCAACAAAATAACCATGATCACTAAAGAGTCAATACATGTTATTTTTGATGAAAAACATGTGGTTGACAAGCCATCAGAGCATGATCATGAGGTGTTAGCCACTTGTCAGGTGACAACAAATTAACCTATTCCCCAATTACTACACACTTATAAAAATGGTAGCAAAGTGGTAAGTAGGGTCATAAGTAATGGACATGGGCTGGGTCTGAAGGTCAGGTGCAGCTAGTTCCCTTAAAGTTGCCATGTTATTATGTGATTGGACAGGAGAAACAATTACCTCAGTTTCAGATTCTAATTCAGAATCAAAAGAAGTAGCAACCTCAGATATACTGACCTGATTCTCCAAATTTAATGCACCACTTACCCTTGTGGTCTCCAAACCACTTCTTAACTGCATCAAAAGGCAGATACTGACACAACACTTAAAACAAGGGTTAGTGCCAACTCAACAGTGAGTCACAGCAGAAAAGAAGAGTTTGCACTTTGGTGAATTTTTATCAGTGTATAAAAGACACAGATGTTCACAAAAACAACTTATAAAGACCTAGTATGACAGCTAGAAAAGATAGAAGAGATCAAATCTCCCCGGCAACGGCGCCAAAATTTGTTAGCCACTTGTCAGGTGACAACAAATTAACCTATTCCCCAATTACTACACACTTATAAAAATGGTAGCAAAGTGGTAAGTAGGGTCATTCTTCCACAGGGAGATTTGTCTTCTATTATTTCTTCTCTTGATTTATTGCTCAGTTTCCACAACA